TACTCCTCACCTTTTTGTTGTCGTACAAAGGATAAGTAGTCAGGAAATTGGTCTGGTCAGGAATGAATGAAAGGGAAAAGCAATCTAGCAATAGGAGCAGGTGCAAACATGAAACGACTACTAGTACCAGCCAGTAATGAGGTTATTACCTTCGCCAGAAGGTTAAGGAATCATTTTGGGTATGGTGTTCTACACAACAGAAAGCTGATTGGTCTGGAGACACTGTATTAATGAGCTGTTTTCATCTTTCTACGTAAGGCCACAGCAAGTAATTTTTATGACATCAGCGCGTACATTAATTTTCGCCTGATTTTGAAAAAGAAAAAAAGAAAAGAAATTTTGTTGCCTTCTGACAGTGGTCAATATTCCGAAAATGGGCAAAGATGTCTGTAAGTGCCATTCCGGAAGGTGGATGGCAGATATCTATGAAGAAAAGGCTCTGATTTGATATTTTGTTTCTTACTTTAATGCAGTGATATGTGATGCTGGCTGTGTATATGTGATGCTCCCACTGAATCAAAACCATTTGTACAATGATTGAGTCAAAATTTTAAATTGTAGGAACCTTGTTTTTTTCCGCCCGCCTTGTTTTTTTTTTCCCCGCTCGCATTGGATTTGGAGTCTGCGGAGGATGTCATCCATCCCCCTGACACTCCTCCACGCTCGACCTCTATGAAAAGCGGCCGAAATAGCGGCCGATTAGAGCATGTAACACTGTTACAGATCGAGTTGAAATAAAGGCTCAAACAATCAAACAAACAAATAAAATTTACTTGCTGTGGCCTATCTTTTTTCTTCTAATAGTTCGCCTGTTCTTTATTATCAAAAAGCAAAAGCACAGCGTTTATCAGACTTTAAGTTTAACAGCTACTCATTTTGTTCAGTGCAAAATAGTTGGTGCCACAATATTTGGGCAAATTGTACATTTATGTTTCAAGTATACAATAGAGTTGTACCAATGGATGAAAAGTTACATACTACAAACATTTCCAATAAATCCTCACATTCATAAAATAATTTCTCACACCATTATCATAATAAAAACATTGAAACAGAAGTCTAATTTTAAACTTCTTTTTCATCTCATTAATTTGTCTATAGATCTTCATATTCAAAAAAATGTACTCATATAATTAACATAATAATTACATTGAAAATGAAAATGAAAATTCTTTTTCATCCACCCCTTCTTTGTCTATGCGAAAAGTGAAAGTAGCTTCCCTCATCTTTTGTCTACAAAGCCTTATAAGTGAAAGTACTTCTCCCATCTATCACCACCTGTCAGGGATTACATGAGGCCACAGCAAGTAATTTTTATGGATGACATCAGATGCGCATTAATTTTCGCTTGATTTTGAAGAAAAAAAGCAAGAAATTTTGTTGCCTTCTGACAGTGGTCAACATGCCGAAAATGAGCAAAGATGTCTGTTGCCATGCCGGAACGTCGATGGCAGATAACTATGAAGATTGAAGAGAGGAGACAATTAAGAAAAGGCTATGTTTTGTTTTTTACTTTGATGCTGGCTGCGTACATGTGATGTTGACAGTTCCCACTGAATCAAAACCATTTCATTTGTACAATGATTGAGTCAAAATTTTAAAATGTAGGAATCTTTTTTTCGCCCACTCGCATTAGATTTGAAGTCTGCGGAGGATGTCATCCATAAAATTTATTTGCTATTGCCTGATCTACGGAGAAGACCTGTTCATTAGAATTCACCACAGCTTTACACAAAATCCTGACTCTATTCTCTGGGGAAAATATATACCAGATCCAACTTTTCATGGGGATCAGCCCTTCTGTATACAGAATAACAATAAGGCAAAAATTGATATTTCATCTATCAGAGGCCATACATTGTTGGGTTTGTAGCTTGCTATTGTCTTTGAGTGAATGGCAATTTTTTTTTTATTCACAACCACTTGTTTAACAAGAGCCAACATTTTGATGACCGTCTGTCATTTTCATCAGGGCAATTATGACTGGTTCACTGTACACAGAAGCTACATGTTAGGTGTTCAGGTCCACTGTGCACTGAAGCTAGGTGTTACTGGTAACAATGCGGGCCCAAATGTAAAGAATTGTTATACCAGTTATACTTCTGTCACTTCTGTGTGTTCCGAATGTAGAGTACAAAATATATGGTCATCTTGGCGTCTAAATCCCTCCTGCTATAAAATTGCAACATGATGTAACCCAACACTAGTTACCATGGTAACAGACAGTCTGGTTCAGGTCATTGACCTTATTTGTTTGGAGAAGAAGAGGAAACAGCAAAAACAGTATGTTTTCCTTCGGTAAACATAAATATATTGTGATATACTATGTGTCTCAAAACAAAGGGAATGGTATTTTGAATAAGATTAATCTATATCAAATGTATGATATGAGTCAGAGAGCATCCTGGATTGCTAAGAGAAGTATAATCATGTTTTTTTTTTGTGGTATTTAGATCTAACTGACCTCCTCTGACAGACAAATTGTCAACAATCAACTTTCAAGGCCAAATCATAATCTAATACAGTCAAATATGGCCTCCTGAACGTTGCCAAACTCTCACCAACCATGGTTAGGAGTTAGGTTAGGAACAAGGTTGGCTGTGGTTGGCTGGTGTTCGGCGAGGTTGTCTCCTGTTTGGCTGCACAAGCCAAATGTTTCAAAACGTTTAAAGCACGCAGGAGAGGACAGGAGGTTGGGCCATGGTTGGGAACTGGTTGGCTAGTGGTTGAGAGTAGGTCAACAGTGTTTGACTCATATTTAACTCTAATTTGAATTGATTTGTACGGTTTGAGCAGAAAATCAATAAATACAACAAACTGGGATTGAACTGTACCCCATACAGAGCCACACTAAACCCATTTAGACCCCTACTAGGAAAGAGATTCTGGCCTGGCCTCATTCCAGAAACTTGGGTTTCGAAATAACCATCCATCCACATTGAACCAATATTCTTTTACAAAAACAACTGTTTCTCTAGCAAAACCAGTCTATTCAGTACTATGAATTCTATATAATCAGTATAATTCAAATAGGTGTAGGAAACAATCTTCATTATCCCAATCTGGTGAATTTGTTGATTTTCTGATTGCTTCCTGATAAAGTGATGATTTTATCTGTTGATTTTCTCACTGTTGGGCGGTGCAGCTATACTCTCCTCCCACTGATAAGCCCTTTACGATACACACAGAGGTGTTAACTACACGGGGTGTAGAAAAAACAACAGCAAGCAATTTGCACCACAGTATCTATGTGGGAGGGGGGCTGTGGTGTTTATGTATTCTCCAAGCAGAGGTTTTGGCTTAGGATTATTTTTGACGAGTTTCTATCTGTTTTTTTTTTTTTTTTACTTGGATACTGCCCCACCATTGATACTGTGTTTACAATTTGGTAACAAAATTTGGTAACTGTCTTGTAGCCACCAAAAGCTTGGGTATTATTCATTCATTAAGGCCACACCAATTTAATTTGTTGGTTCTCGGATTTTTTCAGAAAAAATATGAAGCGACAGGGCGAAAAAATAAAATAAAAACAGGTCTAGGCATCCTATTATAGGCTTAAATGCTACAAAATGAGCCATGAAGTCAACACAAAAGGCTGGGTTAAAATTTAAACATTGAATTTTGAACTTTTAATCAAACCACTGCAATGATAGATGGGAAAACTGTAACAACTAGGAAGAAAAGGACTTTCCTCAACTGTTGGGGGCAAAATATGAGCATTTTTCAGTTGATTCAGGACCAATCAAATTTTTTTTTTTGCAAATCAGAAAAAAACGAAGAGGCGAATCCGAGAACCAACAAATTAAATTGGTGTGGCCTAACTATTAACTGAGAGGCAGCAAACTGCTGCAAAGCAGTTATATGACTACTAGTACTAGTTCAATTGTATTAGATGCAGGATATAAAATAGTATAAACCTGATACTGTTCTATAGATACACATTTTATCTTTTTTTTTTACAAAGGGAAGATCTTTCCTAGCTGAGAAATCCATATTACCAAGCCTTCCTGGTTTTTCAAGGAGTTTGATTTTAACTCCATGGGTTTTCTTACCACCACAGCTTACCTGAAACAGACCGACTGTTTGAAAACATCGGAATGTACCTTATAATAATATTAGCTGCATTATTAGATGTTGATCTACATGAAAGGTGCATCATCTGATCATAATACCTCCTAACCATGTTCCACAGCTAGAGCTCTGTCAATTCTCTGCATCATATACCATTTACCAAGTACAAATGTAAGTTTGCATTGATGTCGTTTGGCACCTAGGTGTTTGTTTGATCTTGATATTTTCAGTTTGTACAACAAAACATTCTGATCCTGTTTGGTATGATATTCCTGGCTACCTTGCTCCTGTATACACCCACACGTTTTTGCTTTCATATCTTACAAAAACAAAAACAAAGAACAGCTGATTGAACAAAAGCTTTGAAGTTTGATCACAACCATGCTTGCATGGATGGATGAATAAATATACAGGGCTGTGTACTGCGATTCATATGGGCTATACCGGTAAAAGAATGCCATACAAAAATCACATGCAGTGCTAGGAATAATAGCTAAACTCAAATTATGGAGGCAAGACTACAAAATGAAGGCCTTGTCTATGCATACATGCATTGACTATTGGCAACATTACACGTCCTTGCATACACATAACAGGAAATTCATCCTCCAAGACATTACGATATCACAGCCAATCTCACACCACCACACAGGTATATCCAGTTGTCTAACACCCCCTAAAATGCTCCTAATTGTACACATGATGTACAGTACCAAATTGCTACATAGCACAGTGTATATACAAAACACTCCCGACAGAACAATTTGACAAAGGGGGTTTCCAAAATACACTGCAGGTGTGGATGTACGGGGTAGAGCATACGGGGAGCCATACGGCAGGAGTGAAGCCATACGCAACCCACGTTATTATGAGCCTGGAACAAAATAAGCCACAGACACAGACGCAGAAAAAGACGGGGGAATACTGACTGTATTCGAGGTCCACCATGGTGCCTGTGTGTCTGGTACGGCTCAAAACGGGAAGAGAAGGGATGGAAGCTGTTCGGGAGGCGATCCTTGGTCGGCCTCCGGACCGCTGGCAAGACTTGGGCTGGAATATTGCACAGTAAAGGTTTCAATGGCTGAGTGTGATGCTGTCACATCTGGCTGCTCAGGGCCTCATTCCTTCTGCATGGATCCCATGGAACAAACCACTCCAAAAACAGGGGACAGGATGTCAGACCGCAAACCTTGTATCGAATTGGCGACTTGATACGTGACAGACAATAGAAGTAATATTGTCTGTACATACTCTAATGACAAGCACAATTCTTTTGTATCCTTCCTATAGGTGTTAAGTGCAGGAGAAAAGGTCACATCGATCAAATTTCTGCCCACATGACCCAACCAGTTGGACCAGTCCTGTCTACATCAGTACTTATGCAAATGAGGGGCCTCTATGGGGGACAGCTCTTCTAGCCTGAGGGGAGACAGACAAACCTGTATAAGCACAGGAAGGATTGGAAAGGAACAGTCCTAGTCAGGCAACTTTAAACAGCAGTAATATGAGCTGGTCAGACTGCTTAAGGTAAAACTATTACCACATGGAGGGCTCTCATGGGGGTTCTGGGTGATCTTTATTTGGCTCACGTCTTTCTCACCAAAACAACATCCCTATTGAATATACATGTACCTGTTGTTTTTATTGCCTTTCAACTCAAACTGAGAATTCCTAAACAAACAGAAATAGAGAACCACATTATAACCCTAATAAAATATGGAAGATTTCTACCTCATCTCTAGATTCAGGACATCAACAACACATCACTAATTATATCACAAATTACAACAAAATTTTTATTCTCCAGTCTCTCCTATATCAAAATAGAAGCTCCTTGGCTATGCCCAGTGAAAAATCTACTAATTCAAAGCTACATCTCTGTGCGTGAGCTAAGTCTCCATGTAGTTTAAGTTGGGTGCTGTAAACTGTTATAGTCACTCTGTAGCAACAAAACTTTAATATTAGCATAAACTTGGAGGTCTGCAAAAACCAAGGAGCTTCAAATGCTTCAAATACATGCAAAAACCACAGTTTTATGGATATGCAAAACTATATGTGAGTATGTATACATGTACATGAATACATGATGTTACATTTGGCTGTCAGCGTAAGATTAGTAGGCAGAGAGCTTTCACCACATTTAAGATAGAAACAGAATTACAAATACCAAGGAAATAATAAATAAGCTACTACATGTATTTGCTACATGCTAGTTACATATACCTGTGGTGTATTTCTTTAGAACATCCAACTTGAACTCTTGAACTTGAATCTGACACTATTTTTTCTTCAGTAATCAGGAAACCTAAAAATAAAAGTCACGACTCGAGGTTTGTTTAAAATAGGAGTTAAGTTGGAAGGTCACTATGCCACTGCACTGATGCCAGACTATTTTGAGGTTCTGGACGATAAACACTTTCTGATTGTTCTATGACGGTCTGCATGCCTTTTTCTGTAAGGCGTAGCGAGCCATTTTAATCCAAGTTGTTAATTAAAGCCAACAGTTTTCATTCGTTGTTACATGTATAAGCGTGACATCATTGAAGGTTAGACGTTAAGCATTGTCAGGAATTATTTATGAATATAAAGCCTAATTGGTCATTTTGATTCCAAGTAGCATGTTATCCTGAATTCATTGTTATTGGAAAATTCTTTGTAGGTGTAGTCAAATATCAGATTGCCTAAAAATCATAGTGGAGTGTCCAAGGCCCACAGACTAGTTTTGCCAGAAACCACATGGACACAAAAGAACAAATTAAGAATAATCAATATTTTGATGACGTCGTAGCAAAGCCGTTCAGCATACTAGTAATTTGCTAGTCTTCCTGAATTTACCATTAACAGCGTCAGCCCTTCTTCAATTTACCATTAAGTATTGCCATGATCCCCCCATGCAGACCCTCTGCTATAAGATAATATCCCTTGTACCTGTGGCAGTACATTGTATTGAAAACTCCTAATAGAAAGAGAATGACATCAGCATCAGGAATTGTGTCAAAGGCTACTTCAAGCTGCAGTTTTCCTTACATCTGCTAGGTAGAACTGCTATACAATAATATTATCAGCCTCAACTTCTGCCACTAGGCAGAAAAAGTTACTAGTAAGCAGGAAGAAAAGAGATGAAACATTAGAAAGCGACAACCATTTCTTTTAGATCAGAAGTTCAAACATCATGCATACAGTGCTGTAAATTGAAACAGTGTCCTCCCAAACAACAGACCTTCTGTTCTGATTCATTGTGATATGACCTTGGACCCAGTGATGTTATGACCTTTCTTTGTCACTTGACATTTAGAGCTGCCAACTGCTGGCTTGTTTACAGTTTCCGCTACCGTCTAATTGAGCTTTGCCCCACAAATCACTGTATCATTTCCGCATATACTTCACTGCTAAGCAAGAAAACATCATCAATGACATGAACACATCACTTAATTTAATATGACTTATTATAATGTATGCAAGACAAATAACAAAGCTTCCCTACCATAGCTTAAAAACCTAACTTTTTATCCTATAGCATGACAGGAATCAACATGCATCAAATTCTTGAACTTTTAAGAGTCACATTAAAAAAAATTAATGCTGAAGGTTTTGTTTGTCATAAATAATATCAATAATATAGTATGACAGTATAGTAATGATACATAACGTTAATTATCAATATCAAATGTTGGTTCTAAGGAAGCAATGATATTATGGGGTAATTTTGTCTTTTGTGTGACAAGAATAATAATAGTGATGTTGCATCACCCTACTAGTAGTATATAGTTTATGTTCCGTTAACTTACATACTAGTAGTGTTAGCTGCTATGAATATGGCTGTTGTAGATATTGAATTATTAGATGCTAAGAAAAGTTATAATTACATATGCAACATTTGAAGTCTACAAAACTGTCTGACACTGAGGTCACACGTAGGTGTTTCTGGTCGGTTTGTCAACAATTGAACAGTTCTGTAGCTGACAACAACATGAAAAGATGACTGTTGTCCTAAAGCACACACATCCTGTTAATGATTGAACACAATACAACCAAACAAAACAAACCTCGGCAGACTGTACAATGGCAACAAAGGCAAGGCAAATCCTGTTAAAACTACTGCAAAACACCAAATCTTAGCCAGCAAAACAGTTTTTTTTAAGGAATATTAAAAAAGAAGAAGATGTGGCATTTGCAACCTTAACTTTAGGGAACCGTAGGTATTTTACACAGGCAATCTGCATAGCTAAGCTGTCATGGTTTTGGATTATGAGTCATTGTCACCAGGTGAAAAACTAAGACCCTGAGCTTCTGAGGCAAATAGAGGGATGCTACAACAGTTAGGGAGTCGAATACCAAGCAGAAAATCGTTGCCAGCTTTCGTGTCAGTCTCAGCGAAGGCAAAACTTACACCCAAACACTTCCTACTACTCCAACTGCCAGTCCGTAACGTTACCGCCCCCCTCCCCCTTGAAACTTGAGGCGGGTTTTCAGCTTGGTCGGATTACATTTTCCTATTTAGCTGCAAAAATAACGGTATCACCAGCATAGAAATGAGTGCAATCCATAGGAGAAGATATTAGAATGACTTGATAATCTTGTCATCGTTGAAATCCCGGCTTACAGCCGACTATAGGATAAACGCGGAACTGAAGTTGCATACGCAGAGTTTGACTTGTTTCACAACTTGTTGCCAAAACTTCTCTTCCAGAACCAACCCCATTCCTTCGCGCCCGCCAAGCAGAACTCACCGATATTCATGTTTTCGTACACTCGGAGCGGTGTGCGGAGCAAGTAGATGAGGAGGACGACCAAAAACAACCAGAGAGCCCAGAGGTACCACGTCCAACTCCAGGAGAGCCAGGACTTCACTCGGTCAACAACTTCCATGTCGGCCATGCCAGTCCCATCTCAGCTCATGGATCAAAAGCGACGGCTGGCGGTGGAAAAGAGAATAGCAGAATGGCGCCAACTGCAGCCAACGGATCAAAAGCGACGTCTGGCGTGCAGTATCATAAACGCACCAATGCTATTCGAGATATTTGGCTCCAATATAAGTTTATCGATCAACTGCAAACCATTTCAGTATATTGGAAGTATCGTCTTCCATAAATTAGATAATTTTGGTATATTCTGCACCGTCTGGAGAATACCCTGTTATCCCGATATCTTCTGAAAGGTGGCGCTTTTGAAGGACCGCTCACTTCTTGGGAAATTTCCATAATTCATTGCATTTCCAAGCATGGCGTCCTTCACTGCCAGACCAGCTGGGCTCGAGCTCGACTCAGATTCAGACGATGATTTCTTCTTCTCTTCCTACAAGGAACAGCCACAGGTTTGCAAATGCAGTGGAGGCAACATTATTACTTGTTTAGCTTCAATCTAGATCGCGATGGAATGCTGCATAGTTTCAGAGGAACGTTTGATTTTTGTTTTGAAAGTTGATCAGAAGTTTTAGCTTAGAGACGAAAGTTAGAGTACAGTTAGAGTACAGTAAGTTAGACTTACTGTATGTTCTTTTCGCCCTGGAACCAACAAGACTGTGCTTCATATCAAGCTTTGCTTTGAGTTTTGACGTTGCTTGTTTCCGATTCGAAGCCTCCTTGTTTACACAACAATGACTTGTTTACACAACTGGGAACATCATACCTGCATCTTACGCAGATATCACCTCAATGTGAAGCTGAATATCGCTGAATGACTAAGCAAACAAATTATTTGGAGTCAATTTTCTTTACAGTACTTAAACCAGCAATAAGTAGCACAACACAGCTGGGATTCATTATCAATTTATTCTATGTAACGTTAATGTTTAATGATTTATAGTTTAAAGTTATAGTTCAGTACTTCTAGAGCCAAGAACTTCAAGAAGTTTCCAACCTTAACGTTATTTCTGATCCTTTTCATTCTTCCAGCTGTCTCCACCATCCAGCAGTCTGTCCGTGGGCAATGATGACACTGAAGACAGTTTCACATCATCAGCCCCACCACCTGCCAAATCAGCGCCTCAGACCAGCCACTCTCCCTTCACCAGACAGAACAAACCGTCCGCCCCTCGGCCGCGGAACCAGGACGGCCACCCCGTGTCCCCAGATGACCTGAAGGTGGCCGTGATGCGGGGCGACCTGAACCGGGTCACAGAACTGGTTCAAGCCGGTCAGAACCTGAACTTGTTGCAGTCATTTTCTTCCTCTTCTTTTTTTTGAATAAGGGATAAAATGTGAGGTTGTGTGACCTAACGGCAGAGCATTTGGCCCAGAACCAAGAGGTCCCGGGTTCGAAACCTGCCAAGTCACCAACCTTGTGCCCTTGGGAAAGGAACTTAAGTCTTAACACGACTTTCCTGACTCCGCTCAGGTGAAAATGAGATATGCTAGTTATTATCATGATCGTGGGCGTTAAAGGAAAACCAATGAAACCAAACCAAAATGTTTGAACTGTCAATTAGTTAACTGTCTACAGCCTAAGAATACCAGGAGACCTGACAATGCATTTGTTTCCCTCCCCAGGCCTGGACCCTGATGTAGTCCTGTCATCTAAGTGGACCCCCCTGATGTATGCTGCCCAGGGCAGCCACAGGGCCATCCTGGAGTATCTACTGGAGAAGGGGGCAGATCCTAACTTTCATAAAGGTTGGGACAAGCTGAATTTTTAAAGATAATTTCTATACAAGCTTGCTGATAACATGATAATCTTTCAAGTCCTTTCAGTACATATGCCATGTTTATCCAATGATGGATGTTGTAAAAAGTCTATTTTCTATGAAAAAAACTTGTGTGCTGGGAAACCTGGCGTCTCTAGAGTCCAATACGATGAAATTGCAAGTGTGTATTTCGAATCCAGAAGGACAGTACACAGTAACAACTGTTAAACAACATGACCAATGACTGCTGCATCCCTGTCTGCCCCCCTCCCCCTTCAGATCACTACAGTGTGCTGATGTGTGCCTGCTCCAGTCAGCAGTCAGACCAGGACCTGCTGCCCTGTGTGGAACTGCTGCTGAACAAAGATGTCAACGTCAACAGCCACGATAGGTCTGCATCTCAACCCACAACTTATCAAAAGCTGTTGTTCTACTCTTTGATCGATATATAGCAATACTATGTAGTTTAGTCCCCTGCAATCGTTCAAGGACCATAAGGGCTACGTACTGTTAATCACATTATATTCGTGGTAGCAAAATTTTGCAGGTCTGAGAAAAATGTACATGTTTGCGTAACTATATGTTCGCCGTAGCGGTAGGTGCAGAAGAAAGAAAGTAGGCAAAAAATTATTTTGTTTGTGGTAAAATCGCAGTAGAGAAGTGACTGCGAAAACCACAAATTTAAAAGTACATGTACTGCGAATATGAATTGATTTACAGTAGTGATTTACAGAAGATATTCCCTACTGTTGTTTCTATGGTTAAACTGACAGCAAAACACATAATGTTATATGCTGATTGCTTGCATTGGATGCCTCATTCTCTTCCATTCTTGTGACTTAATTCAAGTACTAAAACATAAATATCTACTTTCTGTTTTACTCTTTATCTCTATCTTCACTATGTGCCAACTCAATATAACCACAGGACTCCAAATACTAGTAAGACCTGTTTTTCTTGTTGGCATTCTTTTAATGTAAAAATTTACCTGCATCCCTTACAACTGATTTCCTTTTGCAAATCCTCACTTTCCAAAATCTTCCAGTCAGAGGTTGTTTGTGTTTTTTTTTTTAGAAGTTTTTTTTTTTCACCAGGTATCACATGACAGCCGTGATGTATGCAGCAAGAGAGGGGAAGGCAGGGGTGGTGCAAAGGCTCATGGGACAGGGGGCAGAGGTCAACAAGCAGGACTCCAGAGGATGGACCGTAAACCGGACATTAATTCTTTGAAAACTTTTTTGTAGCTGTGTGTCGTACTTTGTTTGTTTGAAACATAATGTTATTCACATCCTCCAATGTATACATAACAGTTAGGCATTTTGCTTCTCATAGCACCAATAAAGACACAAATCAAAAAGATCTCAGCAACCATACACACAGGCTTAGTACGAATACGAATGCAAGTATGTAGAGGTTTAATTGGCTTATATTTAAAGCGTTTTTAGTCGTTTTTGTCGGGCTGCTTTGTACTGGATTCAGGAATTTTCTATTACACAACCAAGATAAACACGAAAACGTAAGCAAGGTGAGACTATCTTGGTTGTGTAAATTTAAAGAAAACTCCTGTATCCTATACTTCACCAACCTGATGAAACTATTTTCAGAAGTACTTTGTACTGGTATCTTTTTTTGGGGGGAGGGGGGGCATATTGGATACTGCCCTGACAATGACAGTCTTGGAGCCAATAAAAGATCTGCTTGGATATTGTAGTAAGGACACATTATCCAATGGGCAGTTCTCTGACAAAGTTGTCATACTACCAGTAGTATCTGGATAAGAATCAAACATAAACATTCTATTCTCTCTTTAGGCACTGTGTTGGGCTTCCAGCAAGGGACATAAGGCTGTAGTTCAGACGTTGTTGGCAGGGGGCGCTGACTCAGAGAAAGTCACCATGGACGGGATGAGACCGGTTGATCTCGCATCTGCAAGGGGATATCAAGAGGTAAGGAATGTGAAATCATTGGTGTGAAATAAAAGTTTCGTTGGAATCAAGTGATTCAAGATAAATGCACTGAAATACACTGTCTTAACTATGTTTGTAGTTGTTCCTGTAGCAAAACTACAGTGCCAAGTATTTTGATGGACCAAAATTTAGGACAGGGCTACTGTATCTCTACAACAGTACAACAGCAATTCCCTAATCATTTCATCACATTCAGTCACATTCTATCATTTTTGTACTTGTTTTTTCCAGATTATCAACCTACTAGTAGGTGTCAGCCAAGCATCTGATCCTACAGGCACTGGGCCTGTGGAGACTGGGCCTGTAGCAGCTAGGCCTGTAGTGACTAGGCCTGTAGAGACTGGGCCTGTAGAAGCCAGGCCTGTGAATGCCGGGCCTGTCTCCTCTCGGCCTGTAATAGCCTGGTCATCACCTGCAAGAGATGCCAGCTCTATGGTGAATGGGGTTGGAAATGGGTAAGACTTTCAAAACTTCTACTTCCTCGCATTTCTTTCAAAGGAATCTTTCTTGAAACATTAAAAAATCTCTAGTGACTAAACATTTGTCAACCAGTTTTTCAATATTCTTTTAGCCTCACAAAGCTGTAAATGACAATTCTGTTGTTTATTTATTTGTTTTTGTTGCTATGGTGATTCCCTTCAGGCCATCAGGACCGGCGCTGGTGCTGCATCAGACTGACGAGGAGCTGCGCAGCCTGGTACAGCAGGCAGGGGACAGCACCAGGTATAGCACAGTTTCAACTGTGTTCACCCACAACTGTATTAAAGTCTTCACTGTTTCTTTCTCTCCTGTGGTCTACTGAGCAGCATTTGAAATAGTTCTCAGACATACCCAAGTAAGAGTTTGAGAAAACAGGACTTGTACAGCTTTAGTTCATAAGTGTGGGTATGAAAGTCTTACATGAACAGTATGAGAAATTTGACAAAAAAGGTACTGTCTTGTGTTGTAATCTGTGAGAGAATACTGTGTATGTTTCAGGTCTTACACACGCTATGGAGACTTGGAGATGTTCCTGTATGGTCTACAGCTAGGACATCTGGTGCCTGTCTTTCAGGTACAGGTTCAAGACTTGAGACACAAGCAGTATTTTTCCCTGAAAGAGGAGTATTAGATGCAACTTCATATTAAGTAAGCTTCACTTAGGAAATACAGAGGTATACATGTACAATGTACATTGTATATAATACATGTAACAGGGAATAAGTAGAGTATTTTGCCATACAGGAACATGCTGTAACATTTGCTGACCTTTTGAAGATCAAGCCTGAAGAACTAGACAAGGTAGGTTTTGATGTCTGGTCTGGTATAGTAGCAGCATACCTGCACTGGAACATTTGAAAATTACCTGCACCAAAAAAATTAATTTTTTACCTTTACTACTCAGAATTTAGGAAACATGGATCATACTAAAATCAGTTCAGAAACCATTGTGACTATTACACTTCATTCAAAATATAGGTGGTAAATACACATACAATGTACATCTGTATAAACCCAGTACATGTGGACCAGTACAGGATAGATGCAGGTAGACATCAGACAAATTTTACCTGCACTAACCTGCAGTTGCAGGTGGTATTTGTATTTAGAATGCAGACTACTAGTAGTGTTAAGAAGAAGATGTAGTTTAAGTTAGTGTGGTTTAGATGCCTATTGCAAATATTCTATTACTACTGTTTGCTTCAGAAGATATCTCATAAGATTGTTAGGTTATATGTGACAAATGAACCAGCACATTCCCCATGTTGTGTAGATGGGAATCCGGCAGGTTGGGGTACAGAAGACGCTGCTCGCTGCTGTACGGGATGTTCACAAGAGGGACTGGGAGAAGAGCAGCCTGCCACGCCCACAGGGGAGGGCAGGCATCAGGTCTGTGTTTAACTGTACTTTTTCATGGCAAAATTTTGGATAATATGTACATGTATCACTGCATTGTATTTGTATCATCACTAGATAGCTTTAAACAATGTTTACAGGTTAGATGTTACAGTTAGATGTGCAAAGAATATAGGTGTAACAAGTCGTTTGGTGTAATATAGCCAGCTGCCGCCATGCCGCGTGCCTGTGAAGCTGGTGTGTTACGCCAAAGGCCGGATATACTGGCTATACTGATACAGGTACAGACGGCGCCATCCTACTATGGTTCAACTAGGCTTTTGTTGAAGTCGATGAAAGAAAATAAAAACTTTGCCTCAGGTGTGACGAGGCTGTTGCAGTGCTGTCAAACATCACCCGTCATGTGAGCTACATCGCCAGCACGGTGGCGTACATCCACGAGGAGATGGACGACAAACCTCACATGATGGATCCGCGAGAGGTCAGTTGTCATGGTTTGTTGTTATATTTACCTTTGCCAAGGAAAAACATATTGTTTTTGCTCAGTTTCTTCCTCTCCTTCTTCTCCAAACAAATAAAGTCAATGACCTGGACCAGATGTCTGTCACCATGGTAACTAGCACTGTAGCAGACACACTGGTGTTGGGTTACATTATGTAGCAGGACAGAGGTGGAGTGGCTGCGCACCATATATTATATATGAATGTGTCTCAGTAACAATAAACAGAAGAGTAGTTTGGTAAGCTAGAACATGTTAACGTAAATATTATCCATTTGCTTTTCAAATGTTACCTTTCTGGTTTAACAGTGTTTTTTTGGTAGTACTCTCTAGCCAGCCTGAATATTTTTGACATCTCAATTTTGTTTGACATAACATCATGTCAAGTACAAAGTCATCTCTACATGTACCTTCTGTTTTCAGAATGTGAATTCTGTCCAGTGCCTGAGTGAGCAGACCTCAGATGTGCTGGAGACTGTGCGAGGCTTACATGAGGAGCTGAGGAGCCTGAAAACTAGACTAATACAGGTACAGCTCCAGGGGTCTGAAAACTAGGCTAATACAGCTGGAGCTAACAGCAATAGGAACTGAGTATTGTAATTTAATGTAGATGCTAATACACATGAAAATAGCTTCATAACTTTAGCAATTTTAGACAGGTAACTCACATTACTCTAAATATCATGATTTCAAACGCCCAAATTTACTATCAGTCGAAAGTATGCACCAACATTTTGTAATTCAATGAATCAAAGTTCCCTCCTATACCCCTATATATCTGATGCAAAGGGCAGCACCCATCTCCGGTTCTGTAGCTATAGCCCTAAGGCCACACAGTTGTGCAATCATTACAGCAGGGGGCTAATCCACTGGTACTGGTGTGTGTTTAACTACCAGTCTTTTCCAAATGCTGAGAGTTAAGCAGAGAAAGCAGTATGCACCATAGTACCATAGTCTTTTGTATGACTTGGCCAGGGGTCGAACTCACAACCTACCAAATGCAAGGCAAATAGTCTACTCACTTGGCCATTGCACTGGTTAATTCAATGTTCGATGTTATCATTTTCAGATGACCAGCTCTAGTGATGTGGTACCAGCAGATTTGGTGTTGGACCCGTACACAGATAACCCGGGGTCAGGCACAGTAAGGCTGGTCCTAACCCTGGCCGCTGCCGGAGCCTTGGTCGGACTGTACTGCAGGAAGTTCTGGTAGAACCAGCAGAAACACAACAAAAAGAACATCGAGAAAGCCCTTGAAGTCTAATCTCCAAGTCCAAGCAGATCTTTTGGTGGCTACAAAGACAGTATCATATTGGCTTGGCAGCACCCATTTGCCACCCCAAGTACACACAAAAAAAAAGACGCCAAAACTTAATCATAAGCTGAAGCCTAAATCTCTGCTTGGAGAGTATTTGGAGTCTGCTTAGCATATAACCACAACCTAATGTTATTTTGTTTTGTTATTAGCCTAGAGGCATATTTCAGATACATTTTGAGTATATTTATGTTTGATACAGATGTTCACAAAGTGCCTAACATGCAACAAGATAATCAAAATATATCACTTCCCAGCTTCAGTACAGTTGTATGCTTGACATTACTATTGTCATACTTGTGGACATCGCTAAGTTATGTTTCATGTTTGGTACAATTGAGTAAAAAATTGTGCCGAGGAAATACCATGGTGCCTGTGCCATGATCATGATCAACTTGTTCAGATATTATGTGTGATCAACACAGTTGCAGACATGTTGGAGAATTTAAGGTACATTTTGTTGACATAACTCCAATAAAAGTGCATTCCAGAAATAAAGATGCAACATCATTATTCATAGTCACACTACATTACATCACACATGTAAATGTATACCTGTAGAGCATGACAGCAAAATACTAGTATACTGTCTACACAAACCTGTAATATAATTGTGCTTAGCACTTTGGCAAAAGGTCTCGTAAACTGCTTTCAGATCTAACACAACAGTTTTGTACAGTAAGTAAAAGCTGTGTAAGACAGGACTGTAAAGTTTGAACCACTCGCACTGGGAATTCGGAAGGACTCCTACTCTACCACTTGACTTGTGGCTCTCCTCAAACACAGGACCTCTGGCTTTGCGTCCCATCCATGAGGACATCCCTAACCAAAGCCAGGTACTCATTTTCACCCGAGTCGAGTGAGGAAATATATGCCTTTACCAAAGACACAAAATTGGGGCTTTGAGTCAAGACCACAAACCACAAGACCACCATGTTGTCCAATGACAATGGTTGGGTTGGTGGAAAAAGCAGTCCAGTTCGATCAACGGAAAACAAAGTCCAGTCCGATTCGGACTGGACTTGGCGATGTGGGAGTGGAAGAAGTCCAGTGACTCTGAGACCTATAAGCTGACACCTGTTCCAGGGACATTACTTTATTGCATTTTGCACACAGGAAACAGAGCATTTTGCATTTATAACTATCTATATCTTATATAATAAGCCAATTCATCTTTCCAATTCATCAATACCTTCCAATGTCACAACCTCAACAAGTTAGTCTTGTTGGAAACAGTTGGTCCCCTCAAGATGCATGTTTAATACCATTGACCAATTTTGTCTTTTGTTCTTTTTTTTTTAAACTGACTTGCGTTCCACATGCACAATAGGCTGGCACAGTAATACATTAACAGTTCTCTAATTTGCTGTCAAATATCCATCTTAACATTAATCTCTAACCATGCAAAATTTACGTTAACTTCGATTACAGTAACCGCCAGTCAAAATATTTATATAGGTATGGGCTGATACCTTTCATATGAAAATGAAATACAACTTGGACAAATAATTTGGCTTTTGTGTAGAAATAGATAACTACACTTCTAAGTCAACATTTCTTTTGAATAATTGTGTAATTGTTTGGTATAAAATTTATAAATGTGCGCATAAACTTTTGAGGAATTTGTCAGCTACAAATGTAGATCGGTTGATACAGCTGACAGTTTTTCTGGCAAAAGAACCACTCCCAATTTGTACTTATGCACCAACAAGATACTTGTAGTCCTAGCCTAGTAACCATGCTCTGTGGGCTGGCTTTGGAGTGTTTTGGCCTGTTTGTTGATAAGGCCTTTCCTCTCTCTGGCAGTCAACCTTTCATGCCAGCTTTTTTAGCTACTGCCGTCCTGTAGATGAAAATGCGACAAAATGGAAACCCCAAGCATGCGCTGCGCAGGAGGCTTTTTGGGTGGGCACACGCTTAAGTCCCGGTCACAACCCGCCGTGCATGCTTTTTGTCCGTACGTTTTAGTGGGAAGCCACATCTGCTACGTTTTTCTAAAAATGTGGGGAAGGAGTGGTGTTGACGCACGTCACTCGCACACCTAAGGTGTAAGAGGGGTCTGCACGCCACGTCTGGCCGTGAGCAGACCGCATGTAGAAAAAGTTTTACATGCACTTAAAGGTCTACGGCGTGTCTGCGTGCTCCCAAATCCATAGGATTCCGTACGGAGGTGGTACTCACCACTTATGGATCCCCTACGTTTGCCCACATTTTTGCAAATAGACAGCACGCAGATGCATGTACGGCGGGTTGTGACCAAGGCTTTAGCGCTGTTGCGATAACCGCGTCGCCCAGTGGTCTGTTCCCCAGGCTATGATAGTCCAAGCAGGCGCTTGTGTCACCCCAGGTTGGCAGTCTGATCTTAGTTTCAAACTTGCTATTTCCCTATATATTTCCATGCACCAAATAAAATTGTACTACTAGTAAGTGGTTTTTGTATAACATTACCCGTCAACATTTGTTAGATATTCTAGTATTATAGCTTTTCTTGGAGTCAGGTCTTTTGCCTTTTAATCTAATACATAGTGGCTCGATGAACCCAATTGTTCATTGACCTTGGCGTAGGCTTTTCTTGCATGTTACAGCCATAAATCCAATTCTACACAATTCGTTACTTTTTCCCCCTTAAATCATAATCTTTTGTAGAGAAGTAGTAGATTTGGGTAACGGACAGGCTTCAAACCTGCCTTCAAATCAACATACAAAATGAACATTTGTCGCGTTTGATATCTTGCTGAAATTGGAACAACTAAAAAGGAACAAAATGCTACGGGAACTGAGAAGAAAATCAAAATGGAAAGACTTGTATTAGTAACCATCTGATAGCAATGCTTGTGCTCCATTCCAGTTTTTTATCCAAGGAGAGGGAATTTTAGCAAAGATAACAGTTACATTGACAACATTGATATCATAACCACTTGTGCACAATTATTGGAGTAAATAATAGTAGAGAATGCACCTTAGTTTTTGATATACATTATGAAACCCACCAATTTCTCCCACAATTTGAAATGATAATTAAATTAGGTTACTTATTCCACTTACTTACTTAACTTTACTTTACTATATTCCAAGGTGCGTGTAAGGAAGAGGAAGACTGCAATGTTGTGTAATTTATCCATTCTTACTAGCCTAGACTACATTGTACAAGTTTGCCTATCCCTCGTTCACGGCCATGTTTTGGACTTGTTCTGTGACCTTCTCAGCTTCTGGTCCATCCTGTGTAGGTTTGACTTTCTCCTTCTTTTTCCCCGCCTTCTTTTTCTTGGTGGCCTGTTCCTCGATGGGCGCTGGCTTCACAAATGTTATGAACTCAGTTCCACCTGAAATTAAAGAGAATATTTATATGTCATGTTCAACAAGACATGTTATGTAAGAAATTTTCTGACCTAAATTTTTCATATTTTTTTAAAACCTTTTTTGAGTTTTAAGAAGATTTACCACATTTGTGGAAGCATTGACATAACAGGTGACTATCAATAGTGTCACCTGTGAAGATGTCAACCCCGAGACCAGACTGTAAGGTTTGAACCATTCACATTTTAAGATGGGGCTCGGGACCTCGGGCTAAATGCCGAAGGTAGGAACTCATTTTCACCTGAGTCAAGAGAAGAATGGGGCCTGCCAGGGATTCGAACCACCCTAACCATAAGACCACCTTGCCACGTTCATGGTTAGATAAGCAATTTTCTGACCAACCACAGCTAAATTTTTCAAATCTATGATTCTTTGTCTCACAAGTTTCCAAGATGTTGCAGTGCAAGTACTATGTTTGTTCATCAAATTACTGACACATTTGATGCCAGACGTAGAAAATTATACTACTCCTTTATTAATAGGATACACAACACCAACAACAGCATAATAGAATGTCTTCTGAGGTCAGATTGTCAGTACAGAAATTCTTTTTTTTTAAATGTAAATAAGATGCTGTATGTATAGTTTGTGTTTCTATGTTTGTACTGTTGTTTTCTATGGGTGAAATACCTGAAATTCATTAATTCATAAGGTTTCTGGATGGTTTTTTGTGTTGTTTTGTTTTGTTTTGTTTTGTTTTTTGTTCTTACCTGGCATGTACTGCCTGAGCACCTCTGGGATGACGATGCCCTCTTCAGTCTGGTGGTTCTCCAGTATAGCACAGATGACTCTGGTGGTGGCACACATGGTGGCGTTCAACATGTGCACAAACTCAGGCTGGAAACACAGAAAACACATCTCTGTTATTGGGTGGGCCGGCTACAGTACTCTCTCCTTGCAGCCAAGGGCTGAATTGTGATGAGCTTACAATTATTGGGGCTGAACTGTAAGGGTCTGGAGCAGCTGCCATCTGGTGCTAACTCAGATGACCTCAATACGACCCCAGGTGCAGCCATAGGACTGTAAGGTTTGAACCACTCATACCGGGAAGGTCCCCTACTCTTTTGAAAGTATGGTGGATTAAACATGCCTGAGTAGTGGCTCTCCTCAAACACAGGACCTCAATTTAGCGTCCTACATTTTCACCTGAGCGAAGTGGGGAAACTCGTGTATAGTGCCTTTCGAAAGGCATAATGCTGGGGCATGTCTGGGGATTCGAATGCAGTGCCTCTGGGTTCTTGGCCAAACAAGTTAGATCTGTAGACAATGCAGTACCTAGCCTGTATATGACTGTCTCTTATCACGTAATTATTAACATCAACTTGATCAAGTCAAGTGACAAGAGAACCCCAACACAAGATTTTTACTGGCCTGATGAAGAGACAGAGAGCATCTCGAAAGCTCCCTATAGTACCTAATTTTCTGTTGTGTGTATTGTTCAAAGTACTTGTCAAAAGCAAAAATTCTTAGTAAGCATGAGGTATCCCTGACTGACCTTTTCGTTCATCTTCTTGGTCTGTCCGTACCGCACCAGTAGTCGCCGCGCCTGGTAGTCCAGGCAGTTGGAACACGACACCAGCTCGCGGAACGCGCCCGACCCCGGGAACCACGCCTCCAGGTCATACTTCATGGCTGCTGCGTTGTTCAACGCTCCTGGGTGGATCAGACACTCCAATCAGCAACAAAAGATGGAACGTTCAGGATAATTTTCAATTCAACTTTCTAAATCTTGCATAAATAGAGAGAAGATTGACATATTTCAATGTGTCATTGGAATTCCTTTTCAAAGATTGGACTTATCTTAAAAGTTCATCTGTGTTGGTAGAAGTTATTATTAGAAAGCAAGGTTAAACTGTAATTTGACAAGAAATTGGACGGACCCAAATTTTTGACTGTACAACTCTCGTCTTTGTCAAGGAATGAGGACTGTGTCACATGTGTCACTGGCATAACATGACATCACAGAAGCGGTGGATTGCTCATTCCTTGACAAAGAATGGAATTGTACAGTTGAAAATTTGGGTAAGTCCAATTTGTTGTATTGGAAATTGCAGTTTACGGGTAAACTTGTTTTACTATAATGATTCTTTCGACATGCCAAGACTAAGTGTTTAACCTTCACAGGAAGGATACAGCTACATGTGTATGTGTCGGATACTGATAGTAGTGTGTTCTTGTTCCTACCTGACACAATGTTGACAATGCGGTAAGGAATGCCCAGAGTCTTGTAGAACTCCTCAGCGTTACCAATCATCTCATGGAACAGACCCCACGAGTCGTCTGGCTTCGAGAGCACAAACTGTTCAACCTAGCGAAGAAAACAGTACGCTTAGCATCCTCCATGGGTGTTTCGTGAAACAAAATCTTACCTTGAAAAGTAAAATTTGCGAAGCAAATGCATAATGTTTACCTACCTACACATGTAGCTTAACAAACTACACACATTTGTACTGCTCTGTTTATAGTTTATACTCAAACTTCATCATATACTAGTACATGTACTAGTATATGGTGACCAGCCCCTCCAACTCTGTCCTACAATTGCTACATAATGTAACCCAACACCACAGGGTGTTTGCTGCAGCACTAGTTACCATGGTGACAGACATCTGGTCCAGGTCATTGACCTTATGTGTTTAGAGAAGAAAAAGAAAACAAGAAACACTGTAAGAACAATGTTTTCCTTCTGCAAGGTAAACATAAAATGTTCACAGAAAACTACAACTTGAATATAAACCTTTTCAAACTGGTGCACCCTGAAGATCCCTCTTGTGTCGCGACCGTGTGACCCGACCTCCTGTCGGAAGCACGTGGAGATTCCCGCGTACTTGATGGGCAGGTCCTCGGGCTTCATCCACTCATCACGATGAAACGCTGCGATTGGCTGTTCCGACGTGGCAATGAGGTACTTGACATCCTCTGTTTGGTCATCACCTTTTTCGCTACCCTTTCCTATAACCTATTAGAGAAAAAAACAGTGCTGTAACAGTATTCTTTCATCAGAAAGTATTCTGTCTTTTGATTAAGTTTTGTTTATTTTTCTTAAATTAAGATTTACCACAAATTTTAGAAGGATTGATGTAACAGGTGACTACGGTATCACCTTTTAAAGATGTAAACATAAGACCAGACTGTAAGGTTTGAACCATTCACACCGGGAAGGACCCTTACTCTTTTTGATAAGTGTGGTGGGATCTTTAACATGCTCAAGGTGTGGCTCTCCTCAAACATGGGACCTCCAGCTTTATGTCTTATTCGAAAGGACGTCCCTGACCAAAGCTAGGTGCTCATTTCCTCACCTGAATGAAATTAGGAAATAGGTGTCAGGTTCCTTTTCCAAGGGCACATTACTGAGGCCTGCCATGGATTCGAACCCAGAACCTTCAGATTCTGAGTCAACAACCCTCTCCACAAGGCCCGTTGACACCTCATGACCAGCTTTAAAGGGTTGTGACAATCTTATGTCTTTTATATCAAAGACTTCAACCATCTGTATCTGTATCTGTATAGCCGGTATAACCGCCTTTTGGCGTAACACACCAGCTTCGCAGGCACGCGGCGCGGCAACCATGAACTTACAATAGACATGATAATACTACAAGTTAATGCCCATACCTTGTACAACTCTTCATCAAACTGGCTGAGCTGTGCCACCTCTGACATGACACCTTTATTCATGAAGAAAGGCGTGTACAGGGCTGTGTAACCCTTCTCATACAGGATCCGCAGAGCATACTGGATCAGGGCCTGCTCCAGAAACACAGCTATTCCCTGGAATGAAACGTACAATAAATATTAAAGGAAATTCACTGGATACAACAGATACAACAACTGTCTTTAGCTTTTTAAAAGTAAATCAGAACTCCCCCCCACTGGCTTCATGGTTATATCTATGTTGCATGTTTCACAGTCTACCTTTTTGTATTATGTTGATGGCATCCCAGCAATAGACAAATTAAAAGGACATCCATCATTTTGTGATTTTCGTAAACACAGACTTTCTGCAATCTATGATCCACTGCTCACCAAGTCATGTGTGTCATCTGCATAGTAATGTGACGTCACAGAAGCAGTTGATTGTTCATTTCTAGACAAAGACTGGAGTTGTACAGTAAAAAATTTAGTTAAGTCCAATTTCTTCTGTTGGACAATACATTCCAAACTTGCTTCGTAAGAAACACTACAAATTTTTGTGTAGCGTTTAGAAATAAAAATCATGGCCATAATTTAAGCTCGTGAGCCTACCTTCATGTAATAGCCTCTACTCCCTGCAGTGACCGCGCCCCTTTCTCCATCATACCCGTCAATCATGGTGATCAGGTCCACATGGGAGTACTTTTTCCTCACAGTGCAGTCTCCGTTCGTCCTTTCAGTTCTGTTATCCTCATCCTAAAAAAATATCAATATCAAAACTACATATGATGATAAAAGTTTTCTTGGTAATGAATATATGAGCCACAGAAATGCAGTCACAAGAGTGAAGACTAAGGATCGACTGCCACAAACTACATATTGAAACCTGTCAAAGGTTTCAACATATTGAAAAAGTCATATCTGCACCCTTTTAGAATAAAGATGGTAAACCGTCAACCGGTTCTTGAGTTATCCTCTTTTGAATATTTTGAAACAAATAGCCCTGCAGTTTCAGTCGTTAGGGGGCCCAAACTCACGTCACTTCTTCCCCAGCATGAGAGCTATCTTCTATCCAAATTTCGTTACCCTAGCATGTCTAGATCATAAGATATAAAAACCGGAAGTTCAGCTGCAGTACCATAACAAGCTGCTAGGGGGTCCGAAATCTAATCATTTTGAGGTCTCAAGACCTACCCACCTACCAAGTATTAAGACAATCCATTGAAGCCTTCTCAAGTTATCGTGTTTACACACACACACACACACACACACACACATACACGAACGCCTCTGAAAACATAACCTTCTTGGCGAAGGTAACAAACAATACAGGACTTAAGGCCACACCAATTTATTTCCTTGGTTAACGGATTCGCCGCTTCGTTTTTTTGCCAAAATGAAATAAAATAAAAAACAGAACAAAAATCCATACTCTCGGGTCCCGAATTGGGGCCCCAAAATCCACCCCGAACGTTGTAATTTTTCAAAATTTGGGCATAGTTAACAGCGTTAAAAATACATTGCTTCAATGCAGAAACATTTTTCTGAGTGCAATTTGTTCGGAAAGCTAGGTTGCCTCTTCAAAAGTTCGTAAAAAAAAATTCTTTGATATAGAACTCGCCCCCCACCCCATTTGCACATGTCACCATTCATGGCACAAAACTTCACTGACGACAGTCAAACGTACGGCAGATTTACTAAGTCATCGTGCCTGTAACAACATATCATTTCCCTTTTAGATATATATTATATTTCATTTAGAAACACGTATTGTGTCGGAAACATGTGCTAGTAACGGGCGTTAAAAGTAATGGGCCGAACGTATAAACTCGGCCTGGGCGGCACATGCACACACACCTTCAAAACGATCTTTTTTCCAGGGAATATGTAAAAATAACACGACATAACAATGTATTCTGACATCACAAACTGTATTACTCTCAAAAAGTACAAAATCCTACCACAAACATGGGATTTGGCAAAGTAAAAAGTCCTCCATGCACGTACATGTAAGTCCATTCACTAAAGCAACTTTCTGACGGTCGGAAGAGTCCACTTCGAGTAGGGGGAAACAGTTTCTTTTAATTATAGAAATTACTCTGTGAAAAATACTACATGTGCATGTGGCATTCTAACAAAGTTACATCTTATTTAGATACCTATAAACAGGAGTACAATTGCAAATAATGAATCAATTATTACATCTAAATATTTTAATAAAATGGTTCCCCCTACAAATAAAATCCCCATACATCAAAGACTTTATAGTGAAACCCTAGACCATTGAATTTGTGGCAACTTGAAGAGTGTGTCAATGTGGCTATTTGTTTGAATGATGGCTATGTATAATGTAGCTGTAGCATACCTAAAGTGTATAATGGGAAATATAAAATGTATGGTAGTACCGGTAGTATTTGGGAATTGGGAAAAGATAAAAAAAGAAATAAAATATCTGTAAAAGTAGTTAATTCTTTTGCCGATAACTTTTACACATTCCTGGAAATTTGTCTAAAGCATATATTTAGGATATTGTAAATTTCAAGCTCTAAATAACTTCCATATCAGCCAGACACAATAGAATGCCCAGCCCAGTGGTAAGCTGTGTGCCCTGAACTGTAAGAAAACAATGGGATCTGAACAGAGCACCCTGATTTAAACCACTCTTTGGAACTTTGAAAGATGAATAAAAGTGAAACCAGTTGGATGGGAGTCTTGTCAACTGACAGTTTGTTGTTCATACAGTAAAGATGTAACTTAACTTAATGGATTGCTTACTACATGGCTGTATGGCAGGTGGTCTCAAATTTTTATTTTTATTTTTATTTCGCCCGCCCGCTCCATTTTTTTTCTAGAAAAATCCGTTAACCAAGAAATTAAATTGGTGTGGCCTAATCTGGCAGTTTTTGAGTTTGAATGACATCATCAATATCTATATGGAAATCACCAGCCTATATGTACCTAATAACTCACCTCGTCATTACTAATAGGGACGTCAGCGTGAAGAATGTTTCCTATCTCCTTCAGGTTCTCCTGTCGGAGTTTCTCCACCTCTGCCCGCCCTGCCGTGTTCTCTAGGATGGACTTGTCGATGATGGTCCGGATCTGCTTGATCTGGTTCACAGTCATCGCCTGAGGGAATCAAAGTCCACAACTTAGGCCACATCAATTTGATTTCTTGGTTAACGGATTCGCCCGCTTCATATTTTTCTGATTTGCCAAAAAAAAATTCAGAATCAACTGCAAAATGCTCATATTTTGCCCTGAACAGTTGAAAACAGTCATTTTCTTCCTATTTGTTACAGTTATTCCATCTTTCAATGCAGTGGTATCATTAAAAGTTCAAAATTCATTGTTTAAATTTTGAACCAGCCTGGTGTGTTGACTTCATGGCTCCTATTGTACCATTTTGGGCCATAAAAGGATGACTAGGCCTGTTCTTTTTTTTTTTTTTTTCGCCTGCCCGCTCGATTATTTTTATAGAAAAACCAAGAAATTCCGTTAACCAAGAAATCAAATTGGTGTGGCTTTAGAGACCAGTGTTCTAGCCACCGTAACCTGGTATCCAGTCTATCGTGGTTGGGACAGATTTTCTTCAGGGCTGCTGAAGCTCTAAATCTAAACTAAGCTTAGTCTATCAGCGAAATTTGCCCGTCAAAATGCTGTTAATACTAGCATTTCAGAGGATCAAGATTTCAAAATTTTCCTGGGGAAGTATGCCCCCGGACCTTCCTAGCATTGTTGTGCCTTTGGCACTTGATATGATGTTACATCAAACAAGACTGGGGAAAAATGTCAAGGTGGCCAGAACATTGTTAGAGACTCCTCTTTCACAAGATGCTGAAAAAGCACTACCGGTAGTACTGTGGCCCCACTTTTTAAAGACTTTCTACTCAGTGATTGAGCCTTTAACTTAAGTTAACATCAAGTTAAGGGGACATCCATGTTGCACAGGTGGAAATGTAATTGTAAAATGAGTGAGTGTATACTACCTGTAAGGCTTCTGGAGTCAGCTTCTCCAGTTCATCCTCTGTAGGAGGAGATTCACTCTCTTCTCCAACTGGTTCTTTTTTCTATAGGTGTGATAAAAACAAATTCAGATACACAATCATACAGCATATATTTTAACGCTGCCAACAAATAGTGACCTTCAACTTAAAGCACTAGGATCCAATGTTTGTAATGTATGTAAATGATATGCCAAAATGCATACAGCACTGCAAAATTGCTTTATATGCTGATGACACTGTGGTATACTTCAGCCATCCTGACTTAGAAACCATACAAAGGGCTCTTCAGTCTGATATGGACCGTCTTCATCACTGGTTTGTGGCTAACTGTCTTTCTGTCAATGCCAAGAAGTGCAAAGCCATGCTTATTGGCACACGGCATCGGCTTAGGGGAAAAGACCAGTTACAAGTATTAATGAATGGAAACCCCCTTGAAGTAGTCCCGGCTTTTAAATACCTTGGTGTAATTGTTGACAGCGAACTGAAATGGGATTTTCATGTTATTCATGTTCTGTCTAAACTAAAACGCGCGCTTGGAATAATGCGTCAGGTCCAACCTTTTGTCACACAATCTGCACTTGTCACCTTGTATAACACCATATTTTTACCACACTTAACTTATGCCTGTACTGTCTGGGATGGTGCCATTTCGGTACAATATGATAAGATGCAAAGATGCAGAACCGAGTAGGAAAATTGATCTTGAAAGCCCCGTACAGAACACCATCACGGGAAGTCCTCTCTCGTCTGGGATGGATGTCCGTGAGAACTCTACACCGTCAACATAAAGCCATGCTAGTGTATAGGGCCTTGGACAATTCTTTACCACCACATATGCGAGGGGTGTTCATCCGGTATAGAGATGAAGCCTCCAGATCCACCAGACAGAGCACATTGGACAACCTCATCATACCGAGGCCCCACCTGGAAGTGTACAGGCGGTCACTGAGGTACTCGGGGGCGACTGTGTGGAATTCCTTGCCACCACATGTACGAGCAGCCCAGTCATTGGGAACATTTAGAAGTATGACAAGGAACTTGGACTGATAACGGACTGATGATTTGCTATTTATTTTTGTATTATATTTTGATTTGCATTTTGTTTTGATTTTGTATTATATTTTGGTTTGATCTGTAATTCCGTGACCCCGCCCTCACCCTCGACCTTGTTGAAAAGCGGTATGTACCGAACAAGCATTCGAGATTAAATAAAGGCTTACTACTACTACTACTACTACAATGGCCCAGGTTTATCATACCACATATTTTAGTGAGATTTATATGTTGGCAGTTTTAGCACTTATGTTCTGTTCAACATCTGGATACACTTCAGCTTTTTTTGAGGACATATTTTGGTTTAAGAACAAGCTTTTCTATATTACAAAGATGCATTCCACATGGTTCCTTTGCCAGACAACTGGTCAAACAATACCACTAGCTAATAGGATAATTGCAGTGCATGACTATGTAATCACTAATAATGAACGTATAATTGGCACTAATTTTCTGACAATCATAGGTATACATGTTCAATGTGCCTTATTTGGCACACTGTGTAACTACTAAGCTATGTATAAATCAAATGGTTTTATGACTGACCATTTTATGACATAGTCAACACTGGATTCAACAGCAACAACATATAGTCAAGCATTTTAAAATTGTTCAGGGACCATCTGGTGGCCCTCCAACACAATACGTCAAGCTTTCCTCGCTCTGACATGATGTTACGTCAAACAAAATTGAGTTGACAGAAATAAATTCAAAGCTGGATAGAAGACTGCTGTGATGTGACCTACATATGAATTACTACTAGTACTATTATGATAGAAGTCGGATGGACACACCTTCATTTTCTCTCCTATGGTCTTGCTGCACAGGTTCTTCAGTCTGTTCAGTGTGTCTGCCTGGTACCGCACTTAACATTTTGGTTTGGGTGATAGAAAAGTCAATTGTTAACTTAATCCTACAAGATGAACATTTGACAATTTAATTAGATTTTAGAGGTTTAACATCTAAGTCAACTAAGTTAGATGGTCAAAGTATACATTGTTCAATGTAAGGATATTCATAAAAAATTTTGCAGAGATTCGACATCTGCAAAATTTGCAAATTTCACAATTGATAATTATTGGCAAATGTCTCTACGTGTTGCATCATCTTAGCTAAATCGGAACACTTATAAGGGTTTGCAATACTCGTTCCAGAAATGACGCAATATTTAGCTAATAAGGCATCCGTACTATGTATCTGGTGATCATTTAGATACCGAGAGAAATGATTTTAATTAGCGATAATTTTAGAATGAAAACCACATGTGAACTGACAGACGTGGTAGGCGTGTAGTGGGTGGGAGGGGGGCGCAACTCACATTTTCTCCATTGCTCGTCGGCTTGGACCACGTTGTCAACTAGCGTCACATCCTTGTACCGCTTGGACTGGTTCTCCCGGATCTTGTTGGGATCTCCTCCCCGATCCACGCGAAACAGATCCAGATCCAGAACCATGGTGTTGGTGGCAGTTACCGCAGAGAATTAGGCGAAATATGCGCTTTACCTGGTGGATTAGGCAACCACTTCGTGTCTCATGCAATATGGGATGGCGGCAAAACGCATTAATTGAACAGATAAATATTAACCGATTGGGTGCTTAAATTGCTCTCAATTATATATCTACAGCAACTCAAAATGATATATAGATTATTTGTATAAAATGCTGGACTTATTGCAAACGCATGTGGCTGAATCTGTCTTTTAGTGTTTTCTATCCAAAAGTTGGAGTTTGGATGCGTTGAATCCGGGTCAGAGGTTAGATGCTGAACATTGAACATCCAGACATGCGCACTGAGTTAGCCGGCAGGTTGCCTGAAAGCTCTCCCTGGCGTCAGCGGGTGGTATTACAACCCACCTGTGTGAATTCGGTTGGTTGGTTGGTTGGTTGGTTGGTTGGTTGGTTGGTTGGTTGGTTGGTTGGTTGGTTGGTTGGTTGGTTGGTTGGTTGGTTGGTTGGTTGGTTGGTTGGTTGGTTGGTTTAGAGTTTAGTTATCCTCAAGAATTAGAATTATTTTTGAATAACTAAAATAAATATCACGTAGAGACATAACAATACATAGTAAAGCAAAGAATGTGAAGTTTAAAAACATGGGTTTAAACAAATATTACTTTGTTAACCATATTCAATCGGGGACATGGATATTGTGTTAATGTCTGTAGATTTTTGTAAACTTTAAAAAAGAACAAATCACTCAAGAATTATAAAATGATAATAACTTGTTAACCATAGAATAATAAAAACTTGTTAACCATATTCAATCGGGGACATGGATATTGTGACAACGTCTGCAGAAATGTTTATTCAGACTTTTGTAAACTGAAATAACACAAAGCACTCCAGGAGTACTAGAGCTCGTGTCGGTAGGAGTGGTCGAGACAAGACTGGTGAATGTTTGGTGTCCGTGGAAGGACCAGGGAAGTTGTTGGAATCACACGGTCAGTGCCCGTGTTTGGAAGGTCGCATTCTTACGGCTTGTCTCCGCAAGGGGTTAAGCCAACACCGTGTCATCAAAATACCACAAACCTGACGCTTCCGCCCCCAATGACAATCCCCGGTATTTTAATGGTCGCGCCGGCTTGCTTCCACCACAATACCGAGAATGACCTCAAGAGCGGCCCGCTGCATTCCTGCCGACGGACAGGTCGCTAAGCGTCCGTTACCGGGAAGACAAAAAGTTCCCGTCACGCTATTGGTTCTCTGAGTCACCACATGTCATAACAACCAATCAGCAAGTCCAATTTATAAATCAATTAGCAGCGTAACCTCTGTTAACCTCTGATAACGTTTGTAACCTACACAATGTTTTAAACCTTTACGTCTCTAAAATAGGGCGACCAAAAAAGGTGTTTTTTTCTCTCCTCACAACTTCTATCGTCTTACTAGTGTGTCGTTCAAACAAATGTCTGCAAGTGTAAGAGTGTACATTGCGGTATATGGTAACGCGCGCTTTCAAGCACCGTGTTTGATGGTAATCATATACTTAAAGTTTCCGCTTTGAGACAAGACCGCATGGCGTCATGTGGGTAAAGTTATACTCATTGTTGTCGGTAAATATTACGCTGCTTTTGGGGAAGACAAGACCGGTGTGTGGAATTTCATCTATTAAATGCGTTGTCTTTTAAACAAGGTCGCGTTGAAGGCGTTACCCTATTCTAAGTTAACCCCGTAGGAAAAGACGCACGTTTGTTTGTTGTTTGTTTGTTTGTTTGTTTGTTTGTTTTATAATGATCTTCTTTAGTGTCACCTCCATCCAGGTGATTTTGTCCTTTGTATGTACTCTCCAAGCAGATGTTTGGGTTTTGGCATGTTTTTAGGCTAAAAAAAAGCACGATAAAAAAAGCCTAAAACATGCCAAAAATAAGCCAAAACCCAAACCTCTGCTTGGAGAGAACTTCGTATGTGTCCGCCTGTTAAAGTTTTCCATTTGTTTCCTACCATTAGTTGGTTTATACAGTACTATTGTAGATAACATCTCCATAGACAGTGGCAGATATACTACATGTACTAGTATGTTACGGTGTAAAAGAGAAGAATGTGAGCTCGCCCCATGCATCCTGTAGAAGTAACGTTCCCCGCAGTTACTAGTGCATCTGTGGTATTCCCGTACACGTGCAGTCGGTATGTGGCGTGATTCCCTCCTCCCCAAGACCATTTGTTCTTTAAGACAAGTCATGCCAGGCCTCAGGCCCCACGGCTTTACTTAAAGATTAAGTGATGCACCTTACTCCAGTTGAGCATGTCTGTGTGTACTCTTAACTCACCCGCGCGAAGAGACATGTTTACACCACATCCTGAAAAACAGCTTTAAAATCGGGTATGATTCAGAATGACTAGTGTCACATCCTTTCGGAATGTTTGTAACGTCCTTAAAGATAAACCTTTGTCTAATGGGGATGTTTAACCCTTGACCCGTAACCACCTGTTGTCAGGTGTACAGTATGACAACCCACATTGCACCGTATATAATACAGCCCGACAACATTTAAGCATATCTTAAACAGTGCTTAAAGAGCAGATTTCGTACAGTGAACATAACTTGATCCATACACGAAGAAGACTTGATGATGATTCTCGCTTCCCAAGACAGAAAACAGTCTTGAAGCTCCTTTAAGTCTTCTCTCTTTCTGAAGCTAAAGACGTTCCAATACCGGAAGCGGCGTGGGCTTGAGCTCACTTCCGTCAACAGTCTACTACTAAGGCACGCACGGGGTCTTTGCCCTCAGTACCGTACATGTAGTCTTTCTTGGAAAGTTTCACCATTGTACACTCTGTAACTGTTTGTTTGTTCAAGACATTGGAATTCGATTTTTTTTTCTCTAAACGATTTATTGATTGTTTGCACTTGGTCTTTCCGTGGTTTTTGGTACAGTTATGTGTTTTTCTTGTTGTTTTCCTTCATGTTGATTTTGTGTAACTTTTTTGTATTGTATTTCTCATTACTTACTGTGAGCATACCTTGATGTAACGTTTTACAAAATAGAAGTAGTACATGGTAAGGAGACAATGACACAATGTTAAGAAATGCTTATGGCACACCGAATTCCATTCTCGGTAAGGAGACAATGACACAATGTTAAGAAATGCTTCATACGCGCTCTAGAAAAGAAAGTCGTTCAGAAAAAGAATTAACCAGTTCCTTGTGATGATGCCTTTTTAATCGAGTCTTGGACAAGTACAGGTGTACCCTTAGTAAACTAGTGATAAACTTTTTTTCAAGTGTTTACGCGAATGCCGCAGATTAGGCACACCGAATTCCATTCTCGTTACTTCACAAGAGCACATAGACAGACGGTGGACTACTAGCATGCTCTCTCTCTCTCTGCAATCAATTATAAATAGACATCTGTCAACAGCGTTGTCCCCTCTTAGTTACATTAGCCACAGATTTCCGCCGCCAAAGAATGCCCAACGAAATACCTGTGTGCCAAAACCGCAAAGCCAGAACTCTATTGGCAGTCTTTGACCTATTTCGTCGGCAATGTCCGGCATTTGAACTCGGTAAACATCGTGGGACGACCGTTGGACGTGTGACGTCACGGCACGGCGGCCGCCATGTTTGTTTTGCTCAAGTTCGCATGACCTTGTAGGTGGTAGCCACGTTACAATTATCCGCAGATGTCGTTGTTAGAACTACGGGTCAAAGTAAATTTGTTTTACGAAACGATTAGACGATAAGAAAGTCAGTAGTTCACATAGCGGTAATTTTTTACATTCCACACAAATGTCACAGGTTAACTGTTAACACAGAATGGATATAACGTAACAGAAGTTATTGATTCGTATGCATGGAGTTGATATTTTAATCGATAAAGTTAGACTTTGACAGTAAAGCCGTATTGTTGTTTGTTTTCTCACCTGCGCATTAAAACATGAAAAATGTTTTCTTGTTGTTGTTGTTCATTGCAATAAAAGCCCCAGTTATAACTCAGTTCTCCAAATTGGAAAAAAAATTATATTCGGTGAAGTAACTTGCGTGAAAATTCAATTTGTTTAGCCCATACTAGGCAGATGACTGTTCATTGTCCCATAAACCACTGGCCATGCCGCTTAACTTCAGTTATCCAATGTGTTTTTAAAGTACAGGTGACTATGCCAAAACTTGCGTCACAAACATCCAGTCACCACCATGCAACCTTTCTTTCCTTCACTCAATCTTTAAGACGCAAACCTTCTTGGAATGCAAAGTATCCCTGTGACATTCCAAGTCCCTGGCCGTGTTTACGAAGTTGATAACAATTGCCCCTTTCTTCCCGACCTAAGCCCGCGTGAGAGAGTAAGGCACACTCTTGTTACTTACACCACGTGCCCCACATACCTTTGTCTTTACTCAGCATGTGGATTCCCGTGCTACCAGCAAATATTTTGCGTTCTACCAGGCTACCGTCAGCCTTGTTTACTCGTCTTAACAGGTGTATATAAATAATCGTGAGCTCCGCGGCTTCTGGTCAGAAGTTAACGGCAGGTGTCCGCTGGCGGGCCACGGACACAAACGCGCCAACTCCGCGAGCAAAACTTTCCTGGGACCGTCCCAAGATTTTTTTATACACCAGGGTTTTCCTTGGTGTCTGTCTGTCAGTCCTGACAATTATCACCCCTGAGGGGTGTATATATAACGGCGGAAGTTGACCGGACGCGAGCGGGACTCGGTACGGGACGCATCCGGGAGAGAGACCGAAGAAACCGCGGAACTTTCCCCGGCAACCTCGCGGGGCGATCGCAACTTTGACCGGGTAAGGTTTTCCGAATTCTCTCGGTTCTACCTCTTGTTTCTATGGGCTTTACGTACACAGACGTGGGTAGCCGTCTCTGAAATTACATTTCAGTAATTGAATAGATGTTCAAAGGTTAGATGTTCAACTGAGTCGTTTGGTGTAATGTAGCCGGCCAGCTGCCGCCGCGCCGCGTGCTTGTGAAGAACTTAGCTGTTCAATCATTCACCAACCCGGTGACCACGGGTATATTTCAGGAAATATTCAGACTTTCTTTTATCTGTTTTCCGTCTACAACAAGGGACGCGTGTGTTCTTAAGGTTCCATGTTGTTCGGGCGTTT